AGGACCTTAATCGAGTGCACAGAGACTGAAGAATTTCTTTCTGGCTTATTTTTAAAATGAAAGCTTCAGGTTTCCTTGCTGCCTTTCTTGAGACAGCACAGCATGCATAAGCGTGTGGGTTACGAGGACGACTGCCCTGACTTGAATCTGGCCTCCAGTACTTACAGCTCTTGGCCTTGGGTAAATTACTTCACCTCTCCAGGCCTTGGTTTCTTCCACTGTCAGATGGGGATAAGAATAGGACCTTTATCATCAAGTCGTTGTCAGTACAAATCGAGTTACTGCACGTGAAGTGCTTAGAATAGCGTCTGTCCCTTTTTTTTCAGATATTTTTCATGGTCTAAATCTTCTTAAATAATAAAATAGTTCAAGAAAAATAAGAGTTAATAAGAAGATGGTGACAGGCCCCTAATGATTAGTAACAGCGTTCTGGGCTGTGAATGTTCCTTTCGATTTTCTTTATCCAATATTTCAGGGACTCCTGATGCTTTCATTACCTTGGTGGAAGAACAAGAAGGAACGAAATGCAAAAGCACAACGGGCAGGTTTTTAATAGAACGTCTTCCCAGATGCAGGAGCGTTACAAGCGCTTCAGTCTTCAATGTAATTTATGGTTGCTGAACTTAATAACAAAATGTATTTTGGCTTCATCTACCTTTTAGGTTCAGTTAAAGAGAAACATGATCCTCGGGGCATCCTTAAGAATTAAAAAAAAAGCTTTACAGAATTTCCAGGGAGCCAAATGTTTCTGCGGTGGTACTGAGTTATTCTCATAAAAGTGATTGTATCTGAAAAAGAGGAATTAAATTAGGAAAGATTTGGGGAAATTTCTTATCTTTCTGGAGCATGCCTAACTATGTCTGTGGTTACTACTAAAAAGATTTTATATGAGACCAAAGAAATTGCCATCATTTTTTTTTTTTTTTTTTACTTCTGATGCATTTTTGCAAAATTGTTGATCTCCAGTGGTGTCTAACTTAGTGTGGATCTTCCTCTCCTCAGCCTGGCATGACTCCTTCCTATTAAAACATTTTTCTATGATGCATTGATTTTTCTCTTTCTATGACAATTTTGAAATTACCAGGATTTGTTCCCTTTGAACATGTAAAATACGGGAAAAGCCAAAAAGCCTCTAGGATTGATTTTTATTTAAATTAAAACATTGTCATAATGACTCTGGAATGACACGGGTACCATGATCGCTTGCTTGTGGCACATGGCAACACAGATTGAACTGCAGTTTCTGGATGCCATTTGGGGTTCAAGAAAGAGGACGCCTCCTTTTTCACTCACTGCACACTCTACGGAGTTCTGAAGCAGGAGTTAACCCCATGGGAGTAGTCACGGAGAGTAGCAGTTTTCAAGTAAGCGAGCCCAGGAACCCTGAGGTCAGATTACCCTAAGGTTATTTAGTGATAGTTGATAACATTTAGAATTTTGCTTCCATCTGTCCATCACTTATTGAAGGGTTAAAGACGAGCTTGGTAAAAGGAAGAGAGGGGTTTCCAAGGCCATTTCCTCCAGCTTTTCACATTCCTGCATGGCAGGTTGAGTCACACCACTTTTTATTAAACGATGCATAATTTAGTGATAAATTGGCTTAGCTTTGCCTATTAAGAGTGGGTCCTGAGGTGTTACAGGGGTCAGCACAGAGGCACGGAGGCTGATTCATGTCGTTAGTTTTCTGGGAGCTGCGCTGTGTAACCACTCCACCACATGTCTTTCATTAGGGGCTACAATGCAGGCTTTGTGTGTGAACATCCTTAGATGGTCAAAGCCAATTTAGAGCGTTCTCACCTTCCTTTTATGCCAGGGGATTCCATCAGACCCACATGTGTGTGGAGCTAAAGGCTTTTGTGGTGGGGTCACTTCCCATTTGCATTGCATCCTGTCTGGCTGATCCAGGCTAGAGGCGCTCTCTGAAGTTAATGGGTGTTGAGCGCTGAATAAGACCATCGTGTCAAACTCACCAAACTTCCTCCTCTCTGGAGTTCAAGAGCTCTTGTAATCCCACTTCCTTTATAAAACTTTCTTTTGCTAAGTGGAAGACAGTGAGTTATTTTCTCCCATTAACTCAGATTTAAAACCCAGACTTTTGTTTTCCATCACCCCCTACACCCCTTGCCTGCCCCCTATTGGCCCACAGACTTCTAACAATGCACTTAGCTTTTGGTAAGGTTCTGTGTGCCCAAATACCTGTGTGATAATTAGTCTTTGTGGGCACACACAGCAGCAGTTACTACAAAGCTGGGACGTTTAAACTCATCTTGTAGAGCATCTACAGTAACAGTGTGCATGGGGGTATTTTATAAAATGGGTACAGATCATGTTTCTGTCTTCCTCAATCTTCACCTCTTTCTTAGACTTCTCTTTTCAGTTGAGAGTAGACATATTTGGAAAGAGAATAGATATCTGCAATAGGGCAGGCTGTGTGAGAGTACGGCCTTGTGTGGGACCATAAGGGGCTCACATCTGAGCTCTGTCATTTCTTACATATGTGGTATTCTCATGGGATTATTTGAGTCTCTGTTTTCTCGGGTGAGATATACACACCATATTATTAATTCTTCTCTCTTAGGATTGTTGTGTTAGCTGAGATATTATACGCCCATGTGCCCAGGGAGGTTCCTGGCACACAGTCTGCATTCCTTATCCATCCATCCATTCATTCATCAAGGACTCTGATGACCTCCTACCGCATACCAGGCATTGCTTGTAGCCTGGAGACAAAAAGAACATTCTTACAGTGATAAAGATACTAGACATGGTACATACATGTATGATACTCCTATGTTAGACGGGATGAGTGCTATGCAGAAAAGCAAAGTAGGGTATAGAGTATGGAGCACAGGGTGGTTTTAATGCCATAGGATGGATAGGAAAAGCATCTTTGGAAAATAGTTTGAGCCAGGACTTGGAAGTGTGTGAATAAACTGCACAGGGAGACAGACAATGGAAGGAGCACTCTTCACACATGCTTGGCCACAGAAAGGGGCAGAAGAATGAGGGAATGAGGCAACAGAGGCCATCTCACTTGGGGCCTTTAGGCCATTGTGAAGACGTTGATTTTTATAAGAAATGGAGAGTTGTGCTTGCTTTGGCAGCACATATACTAAAATTGGAATGATACAGAAAAGATTAGCATGGCCCCTGTGCAGGGATGACACGCAAATTTGTGAAGTGTTCCATATTTTTAGGCATAAACGTATTTATGATTTATGTATATATGACTTAATAAAAAAAGAAAAAAGAAATGGAGAGTTGTTGGAGAGTTTTGACTAGAAGAGTCACATGATCTAATTTGGTCTTGAGTTGAGGTTTCCTGGAAACAGACTGTGAGTCATGCAGTCGCCTGTAATAGATTTATTTGGGGAGTGTCCTTAGAAGCAACACTTCTGAGGCAGTGAGGGAACAGGATTGGGCAGAAGCAGCAGCTGGAATGCAACAGAAGCTTCGGCTTGTCCATAGGGAGTTCGGAGCTGGCAGGGCCCCTTCTAGCTGTCCAAGTTGAGGCAAAGAAGTGGACTGTTGGTGCCCGCTGTGTCACTGGTGCTGCATGCAGGAAACAGCCGGTACACAGATTGAAAGTACAAGCTTGCAAGTGGCGGACTCCCCATAGGTGCAGGAGAGCCTCACGCTACCTCTGCCATGGCTATTTATTGAAACACTATCCAACAGGTGTGGGGAGCCTCACATACCAGGACCACATGCTACATGCTCGTTCTCCCGGCTCGATTGTTCAAAGTCCAACACCTGCTTACTAATGAGCAACTGATCTTATCTCGTTAGAGCACTCAGTTGCTTGAGTGCTTGTCTCTAGGCTGCAAAACATCTCCATGCTGGCCAGGAGACTGTCCCGCTCTCAGCGCCTCCTTCAAGAACCAGCGACTGCTCCTATGAGCATGGTGCTCAGTCTCCTACAATGGAGCTTTTGTATCCTGACTTCGAGAAGTTATTGTTTATACCACAGGGAAAGGGCATAAACTTCAGGAGGCAGCTCCCTTTAGCTGAGGGCAATTCCCAGAAGGAGATTTAAATGTAAGCTGTCGGCAGCCAACGCTCTCAGTTGCGGGGGTAGTGTGTCCTGAGAGGGGAGATCTGAGTGAGGCCCCACAGCATCCACTACACTGAGGTGTGATCCTGACCTACAGAGCAGAGCCGGCTGCTGTGCTGAGGTTACACCATGAGGAGGAAGGGGAAGGAAGATGACCATCAGTCAGCGGTTGCAAATATCCAAGGTGAGAGAGGGTGGCTTGGGCCAGTGTGGTGGCACCGAGCAGATAAGAAGAGACAGGACTCCAGACACATTCCGAATGGACTGCTGGCAGGATTTGCTGATGGACTGGTTGGAGGGTGTGAAAATAAGAAAGGAGTCAAGGATAATTCCTAGGCTTTTTGGCCTGAACACCTGTAAGACTACAGCTGCCATTAAGGGGTGAGGGGAAGATGGTGAGAGAAGTAAGTTCAGGAGATGGGGGTCAGGAGCCCCATTTCAGACATGTTGAGTGAGACAAGCCTACCAGATATCAAGTGGGTGTGTTCAGTGGGCAGAAGGGCGTATGAGTTTAACCTAGAGAGGTATTTTTGGAATCCTTGGCATATATGTGGTATTGAAGACCATGAAACTGGCTGAGGTTACCAAATGCAACGGATATATCAGGGAAGTTCTAGGAATACTCCTTGAGGGTTGGATTCCTTCAGCTACCTTTCTGATTAGTAATTTCAACTCATTAGGAAAAGAAGATCTTTCCCTCAGCAAGCTATGGTAGTAGTCTTACAGATTGTAGTAGACAGAATAATAGCCCCCACCCATGTTCATGTCCTAATTCCCAGAATTCTGAATCTGTTATTTTACATGGCAAAAAGCGCTTCGTAGAAGTGATTGTTAAGTATCTTGAGATGGAAAGATAATCCTGGATCATCAGTGTAATCATAAAGTTTCGGAAAAGTGGAAGGCAAGAGGATCAGAGCCAGAGAGGGAGATGTGATGACTCAGGCAGAGGTCGAAGTGATGTGCTTTGAAGAAAGAGAAGGGAGGCAGAAGACCGGGCAGGCAGGCAGGTGGTGTTGACGTGCCGGGCAGGGCTGGCGCCTCCAGGAGGAACGCCGCAGCTCTGCCAACACTTTGATGTTAGCCCCTCACACTCATGTCAGACCTCTGACTTTCCGAAGTGTAAGATAATACATTTGCATTGTTTTAATGTAGTAATTTGATATAGTTTGAACAGGAAATTACCGAGCTAAACATAATCTCCTTTGTCCTACCTTGCCACAAAATTTACTGGCTGAATTTTGTGTTGGGGAATAAGAAGTAGGTAACTTTTAGGGCTCTAAAATACTGATGTTTGCTTGTAAATAAAAATTTCTTTCAGTTGTTAAATATGTCTACCTATCTATCCTATGATCTATCATTTCCCATCCATCCATCCATCGATTTATCCATCCATCCCATTGGTTCCTAGCTGTTTATGTTCTGGAAAATTTTAATAAGTTAAATGATTGTCACAGATTTCTAGTTCTCTAGGATTATTTGACTACTTTGTGAACTTATAGTACCTCCCCCCCACCATTTATTATTATTATATTTTATTTATGACCCCTCATCTTTTTTTGTTGGGGGGAGACACTGTCTCACTGTGTTGTCCTGGGCTAGAGTGGTGTCAGCCTACCGCACAGCAACCTCAAACTCCTGGGTTCAAGTGACCGTCCTGCCTCAGCCTCCCCAGTAGCTGGGACTACAGGTGCCCACTGTGACACTTGACACTACTTCCCTTTTAAATAAGTCATTTCATTTCACAATAGAGGGTACAGATGGATAAATATAATATCTAAAAACAGAGAAATTTTAATAACTTCTTTTGTGTTTCCATTAGTTTTCTTTGTGAGACAGTCTTACTCTGTCACCCTGCTATTTATAGAGTACTGGCATCATCATCGCTCACTGTAGCCTCAAACTTCTGAGCTCAATGATCCTTTTGACTAGTTGGAACTGCAGATGTGTGCCACAGTGCTCACTAATTTTTCTGTTTTTAAGAGGAATAGGGTCTCACTCTTGGTAGGGTTGGTCTCAAACTCTTGACCTCAATCAATCCTCCTGCCTTGGCCTCCCAGAGTGCTAGCATTACAGGCACGAACCACTGACCCTGGCCTCTATTAGATTTTAAAAAAATACTTAAAAAATTTATTTTGGCAATTGCAATTCTTTGCCTTCTAAGATAACTGGAATTTTTATGTTTTGAGATAATTAAAAAAAAATGTCAGATTAATAGGAGGGTAGAAACAATTAGCTTACACTGTTTGCATTTGTTAGGTAAAGTCCAAATTGTACTTGAGCCCTTCACCCAGTGGGTGTGACATTGTGCCACTAGGTGAGAGCACACCAATCTTCCTTCTCCTCCTCTCTTCCCTCTCCTCTCACTGGGATTTAATTGTGTTTTTCCCTTGTGTGAGCACACAGTTGTTCATCTACTGGTTTCATATTAGTATCGAGTACATTGGATACTTGCTTTTGCATTCCTGCAATACTTTACTAAAGAGAATGTTGAAGAACGTCTAGGTTAATACAAAAGATGTAAAGTCTGAATATGTGACTCGGTGGAGCAAAGTGGTTAAGAGCATGAGTTTTGGAATCAAGTGGCACTAATTTTAATGTCTGGTTTTGGCTAAGCACCAACTTGGGCAAGTTACTTCTCTGCTCTAAGGCTCACTTTCCTTGTCCATATAATGGGAACAATGACTTCTTCCTTAAAGGGAATGTATGGATGGCCACTGCTTGGAGCATAGTACTCAAGAAATGGTGGCTGTAATGATACAGTGCTTATCATTATCCTGCCATGTAGCTGGGTTAGGAATAGAAGCCTCAACATCTGTGTGCAAATCTTCCTTCTTTATGACCCTTGCACTGTATTATTTTAATAATCCATTTATCAGGCCATTGGTATTCTGCTGCCAAAACAATTTGTAAGCCAGTTAACCCTGGTGGCTGGACCCTTCCAGCAGGATAACATTGTCATACATGTCACAGGCAGTGCAGGGAAAGGAGAGTTCACCGTCTCCAGAGGCACATTATTTACCCACTCCTCGGCCATAAAATGTGCTATGTATTTGAAGGATCCCTTGGTTATATTTTTATTTTACAGCACCTTGCATTGACCATTTTGCAAAATAATGATGCTCCTCTTATCAGCTCATCTGCTGCCAGTCAGTAATTTATCTGAACGGGCTCTTCCGGCAGCACCATTTACAGTACAGGTGTAGGTGAGGCATTGGCCGTAATAACAGTGGGCCATGTGCAGCAGGCAGGGTTTAAAGTACTCACTGCTTACACCGGTGACATGGAGGCTAAGCGGAGCTTGCTGTTTTTTGGAAGAGAAAACATCTGGAACTAGATACAAATTGTTCCCAGAAGAAAACACACCTTTGAATTTGTGTTAAAATCTGATTGCTTGTGTTCATTTGGAAGCCTGGCTAGGGTGGGTATGTAAGCCTGTGCTTTGTTTATGTCTTTTGTAGTTCATAGAGAGGGAGCATGGTATGCAGGCCTGTGTAGTAACTTTGAGGAGGGAACACCTATAGCTCTTTTCTACCTCCATCTTTGTGTGTGTGTGTGTGTGTGTGTGTAACAGGAGCAGTCATTAGTATCAAGACTTCTTCAAGGAAACGTTTAGTTTTTATTTCAGCTACTGTTCACTATCTCTTTTCCAATTTAAAATGAAGGCCTCATGCCTGTCATCCTTGTACTCTGGGAGGCCAAGGCAGGAGGATTGCTTGAACTCAAGAGTTTGAGACTAGCCTGAGCAAGAGTGAGATCCTGTCTCTACTAAAAATAGAAGAATTAGGGTGGCGCCTGTGGCTCGGGGAGTGGGGCGCCATTCCCATATAATGGAGGTTACAGGTTCAAACCTGGCCTCAGCCAAAAACTGCAAAAAAAGAGAAGAATTCGCTGGGAATTGTGGTGGGCCCCTGTAGTCCCAGCTACTTGGGTGGCTAAGCAGGCTGATTTGTTTCTTGAGCCCAGGAGTTTGAGGTTGCTGTGAGTTGTGATGCCACAGTACTCTAGCCTCAGCAACAGAGTGAGATTCTGTCTCAAAAAACCAAACCAAACAGAACACCAACCAATTTAAAATGAATTTTAAAGTCCTGTAGGAAGATGCTGAACACTTGAACATCACTGTTGTGTCTATTGTTTTATGAGT